ACAAGCGGAAAATACTAAAGCACTCCTAGACTTCGCAGAGGTGAACAATGCCAGTAATGCTTACAAACCTCTCCGGCCATCACAGATTCTGCAATCAGAAAAATTCGTGTCGCGCATTATAGAGGTATTGAAAGAAGAGTATGTTAACTCTTTCGATGTCAATATTCCGAAAGAAAAGCTTGTTAATTTGAGTTCTGCCGTTGCTCTGCCAGACCAAATAGCTTCCGAAATACTTTCAAAGAGAATTGTTGGTAAAGAAGAAAGTCAGAAGTTTCGTTTAGAGCGCATTGAGTCTAGTGAGGTCAAATTTCACGATCTGATAAAAAGACGAAAGTTGCAAATGTTCAGCAATTCAAGTAAGAAAGTTACAATTGAGGAAAACAAGAAAGTGAAATCTGTTGAAGTTAATCGGAATATCTTGGGAACATTACTTTCATTTTCAGAAAAGAGTGGGCAAGCTATTGATCTTAAAAAAGCACTTGAATACCCTTTGTGCCCTGTTCCGCTAAGCTTGGCTAACCCCGACGGATCCAGAAGAGTAACGACGAAAAGCAAGTTAACCGAAATTATAATCAAGAATGTGAAAAGCCCTGTATTACACCCAAGGGAAAGTCAACCCCGGAAAGAAACCGTGTCTGCGTTTATTGTCGACATGATGGCAAGTGTTAGGAGCATAACGCAAGTACCAGAAACGTATGAAGATCTCACGTGGAAGTTTTTGCAGCAGCTGCCGTCTGGATACAGTCGGATTGACATTGTCGCAGAAACATACCAAGAAGTTTCACTTAAGTCAGCAGAAAGAAACGCACGTGGGATTTCAAGCAAAGTGATGATTCCTTCAGACAAATCGAAAGTGCCTCGAAATTTTAGCGATGTTTTAAGAAATGACGACAACAAGCGGCGATTGATATATTTAATGCAGGAAACCATCATTGCAAACAAGGCAAAGGCTTTGGACTTGCTACGCTGCCAGGAAATCTACTTCTCAACCTATCAAGATTGCCGCAAAATTACACCTGTTTCATGCAAAATAGAAGCTGAGTTAATTAGCAATCAAGAAGAAGCTGATACCAAGGTCGTACTACACTGCTATCACGCATTGACTCGTCATCCCTTAAAAAAGATCTTGGTAAGATCACCTTCAGGTGATACCGATATTCTTGTCATCTTGTTAAACAAGTTGCTTGAGCATCAAGACCGTGTATATCTCGACTATGGAAATGGAAACATCGCAAAGGACTTTGGCTGGCCGATATCGATTTACCTGAGGAGATCAAGAAGTGCATGTTGGGTTTTCATGCCTTCACCGGGAATGACTATATATCGTCATTTTTTCGAAAAGGGAAAATGGCTTGCTGGAAAATTGTTGAAAAGTATCCCAGGTTCGTTAGTATCTTTACGTCACTTGGTTTATCTTGGGAATTGGAAGAACAATTAGCTGATGCTCTTGAACAATACGCGTTTGTCTACTATACGGCAGCCGAAAGAAGAGAGTAAACGGCGTGCGAAGCGAAATCTTCGAACGTAAACACGTTAACCAAAGAAAGGTTATCGATATATCGCATCTTCCACCTTGCAGGTCAACATTACTCTTACATTCGAAAAGAGCAAACGTAATAGCGAAAATATGGAATTCGTGGCACGACCCAATGCTAGAAGAACCAGATTTCACACACAATGGTTGGAATAGTTTATTTGAGATATGCTGGATGGATGAAGCTTTTCCAAGGGATATGAACAGTATTCTTCTTGAACCATTATTCGATGCTGATAATGATATTGACTGTGGGCTGGACGAGGAGAGTGATGATGAGGATTGATTTAATGAAAATCCTACCAGAGACGGTGTATGTATATTATATCTAATAATACTACAAATCGCTTATAATATGCTCTATTTATAGTGTGACGAAAAGACTAAGTTCATAACCATGTAATTAGCCTGTGGTTTTGATTTTATAGTGCCACATTCTAATATAATTCCTGCATCAGCATTAGTTTAGTATACATTGCTCAAACAGTATAAGGCATTATACAGTATTATAGAGAAAATATAGCCATAGGCTTATGCTGTTCACGTTTTTGCAGTAAAGTAAAACGATTTAAAAGGAGTTAATAAAACTTATTATCTGACTAAAATAGCATTACTTTAAGAAACACTTTAGACCCTATATCCTACAGTAATTGTCGTATTTCACCCAAGATCATTACAGGCGCCCCGTTTACCATCGATTTTCGTTACAACAATGCATACGGCTATCCAAAAAACATAGTCTTGATTTCTCCGCCGCAAAGTGGTACCTAGCGCCAATACAGCCTGGTCTATTGCACATCTTTGAACCAATAACCAAATTTAGAAAAAATGTCTCGAAAATATTTTAAAAATTGATTCAAACCAAGCAAAATAGCAAAAACCTAAAGTTTTTTCAAAAAACCAGGGTGGTGGGTGGAAATTGTAGCAGGCTCAGATCCGAGCCTGGTCAGTGGTAATTACCATGAGAAATACGGACCAGTTGTCATGGAAATAGCGTCAGGCCGAAATCCGCCATGTTTTTGGCTTCACTTTTTTTCCGGCAGGTCCTCCAGTAATATAGTATAGCTTAGTGGGGTGCACGCATTGGGGCTTCGGCGGCGCAGGCGTCAGAGCAAGCGCCTTTCACCTGTGAGATCGTGGGTTCAATTCTCGCTACGGACTCATAGATATAGGAGACCTAGATTGCTGACTGTAATGTATTCCATGACGCACGCCTCGCGCCAACATGAGCGTTCAAAATGGCGGCTCAACCGGTCAAAAATCATAGAGCGAGATAGGGAAAAACCATGTTTTTCGCATTTTACGCCTGCCTACTGTTTCCGATCTCGTTCAACCACCTTATTTGGGGAAGAACTAACTGGTGTGAAGGTTTTGGATGAATATTTGTACAATTTAAGTTCAATAAAGACGAAATAATCGATCGCTTAATGTTTTCTGAAAATCATTATATGGTCGGTTGGGCAGTTCGAGACATTTTGTTGCGGAAATGAAAGGTTTTGGTCCTTTGGGTGCTTTTTTTCTCGAGGATCTCGGTTGGGATATATAACAGGTATAATATTGTGAAGTATTTTAAATTTTAAAACCTATTTTGCTTGATTTTTTTGCTTGATTTATTTTGCTTGATTTATTTATTTTATTTTATATATATATATTTTTTAAATGTATTTAATTTTTTTTTCATCCTGAACCTTCCTTACTTGTGCGACGAGTCCTACCGCGACAGGCTGATCAGTTTGGAACAGATACCACTATCATACTGGCACGAGTATATGGATCTTGTGTTTTTCTTTCAAGCTGTAAACGGTCTGATCGACGTATCTAATGATGTTCTCCCTCAACCTATTATTCCCACCCGAGTTACCCGATCATCCAGTACCACTGAGTTGTTGTTCCGCCCCCAAAAATGCAGAACTACCACCTTCCAAAAATCATATTTCACCCGAGCCACAAGAGTTTGGAACTGTCTACCAACGAACTTAAGACAGCCAAATATGTTTTTAAGTACATTTAAAAGATTGCTGCGGAACTTATTATTTGGAAGCCCTGCATAGTTGTTATGATGCAGAGGATCCAAAAACGTGGAAATCTGTGTGTTTAAACTGTAACTCTTGTCGTAGTTTGAACAGTATTATAAATTGTTGTTTCTAGTTATTATATATGGGCCCACAGTAATTGGTTTTAACTGTTGTGGTGTCCCAGCCATCTGACTGTATGTATTGTATTGTACTGTACTGAACTATATATATACTGTACTGTCTTGTGTTAGATTGTATCGTTTTTTTGTTTTTTTTGGGGGGATTTTTTTGTATTGTAGTGTATGGTATATATAAATGGCGAAGTTATATAAATAAATAAATAAATAAATAAAATTTACCTGGTCTGCTGGTGGTTTAGTGTTTAGTGTGACTTTGATGGCTTCCTTGCTGCTGCAGATGTCAAGGGATCTCAAGTCGATATGGTCTGGACAGTGAAAAGTGATTAATCAATCAGGATTTTAGAGAGAATTACTGACAGCAAAAGTTTTCAATGGAAACTAGTTTGAAGAAACTGACTAATTTGTCTAGTATGCATCAAAAACCTTCGCAGTATATCTAGTTGATTTAGCATTGATATAAATAAAAAGTAGATGGGACAGCATATACTTTCAGCTGTTTCTTGGATTGGCCTTATTAATTGCTTTCCCTTACTAACTCATTAAGTGTCAGCACTCTCCCCTTGACAAGTAAATTATCGGGTGTTAGAGTAAAATAATAAAGTAGGGTGCAACTCAATGGGTTAACTGGACCCATGGGCAGATAGGCCAGTTAACCCATTAAATGCCAGCACTCTTCCCTTGACGAGTACTAGTAAAATCATCTGCCGTTAGACAAAATAAAATAATAAAGTAGGGCACATCAGGGCACAATACGACTTAATGGGATAATATAGTTGTTGGGTGTAAGTTGTTTCTCACACAATACTGAATATTTGGTTGGCATCCAATCTGCCCATTTCATTGCTGTTATCCAACTTTTTAGTCGGCTGGGATTGGTTATAGGAAATCTAAATAGTGTGAAGGGAAATATGTATTTTTTGGTTCACTGATGTGAAAAAAACTCAAATTTTTTTGACCTTCAACAGGACAAGAACCTCTATGAAAGTTGTTGTCCACATGCATATATATATATATATATATATATATATATATATATATATATATATATATATATATATATATATATATATATATATATATATATATAGACTCCTAACACAGACATCAAAACAAAAAGTTCCTTTTGGTCTAATGTTCTTTTATTAAAACTGTAAACAGTTTTATGTTGTAGCCAACAAGCTCAGAACTACAGTTGTTGTCATTATTGTATTTACAAAACAAATTGTTTTCATGCTATTAAAAGCTGTCTTATTTCATTGACTCTAACCTTTTCTATGCTAGTACGAGTTTACTAGAACTTGAATCTTTAATTAATGCCGAACTCAAGCTAGTGGACAGCTGGCTATGTTCTAATAAACTCTCCCTAAATATAAGCAAATCCAGTTTTGTGATATTTCATCCAAGCCAAAAAAGCCGCCATTTTCGGTACAACTCACAATCTGCAACCAATCTATTAAGGAAATGAAATCTATTCAATATCTGGGAGTTATCATAGATAGCAATCTCAAATGGAAAGAACATGTTAATTATTTAACGAAAAAGATTTAAAAAAATGTTGGACTGCTTTCTAAAGTAAGATATTTTGTTGATCAAGCAACTCTTGTTATCTTATATTATGCTATATAGTTTAACCTTACTTTACCTACTCTTTAATCGCATGGTGGCATACTTACAAAACAATTATAAATCATTGAATTGTACTACAAAAACGTGCCATACGAATCATGACATTCTCATCCTACTGTGACCATAGTAGTCCTCTCTTTAAATTTTTAAATCTCATCAAATTACAAGATCTAACTAGTCAATATTTGCACTGCTGTTCTTATGTTTAAGTTTCACAACTCTCTCCTGCCTTCTACATTTAACCTCTTTTTTTATACCTGTTGACCAATTACATAATTATAATACAAGGTTATCATCTAACCAATCTTATTCTCTTCCTAAATCAAGAACAAATTATGGTATGTTTAATATTAAATTTCAAGGGCCTAAAATATGGAATTCTATTGATAGTAAAATCAAGACCTCATCTCTGCATGCTTTTCTTTCATGACCGACCGATAAAACTTATTTAATAGTCCAAGGACTTTTATTGTCTCTGAGTATTTGGTTGCCTAGCTTGATAAGCCCATATGGTTTCTCGAGGTTTTTACCAATACCAACCTAGTCAATCTAAAAAAAAAACAACATATGTTTGTGTGTGTATGTGTAAGTAGTAATATAGAGGCCGTTCGACCCGGATTTTTGGGGCGGCGCGGGGCGGCGCATCATCATTGACATAGGTCATAATTATATGCAATGACGTCACGCGGGCAGGTTTAAACAACGACGTGTGAAACTTGCTGACTACGCATTTTTTAGCGTCCCCCACGTGTGTTGAATAGTTTGTGTCCCTCGCATGGCGAAATTGTTATCGAAATTAATATATAGCAGAGTTATAGCCATATCTTTGCTCGGAAGAGATAAATTTCCACATGTATATTGAAGGATTTTTCGTATGTTCCATAGCGAGGAATCTTTTCGTCACAAAAATCAAGATATATTTTAAACTAAACAGTTCCTATTCCCGAGTTGTAAACGTCGTTGTTATGGTCAATATTTGCATGTTGTTCAAGATTATTTAGCAATCCTCCTACATACATATATACTGTTAAGATGATCATAAGAAAGCTTATCAAGAGTAGAAGTTAGAATTAGAACAGTCA